TATCGACAGTACAAAATGAAGTTTGCATGTGCATCTTGTTTCAAATCAAAGAATCCTATGAAAACATTAATTGTTTTATAAGTACATGTGTACCATCATGTACCTTGACCCCCCCCCGAATTCATATTGCAACCGGAGGCACATATATGGCATTGGAAAAGACAAAGACTAGGGCAATCTTATTAAAATCAGACTTCTTAGATCTGCACTGTATTCACTCTGAGCAGAGTGAATAAGACGCGGATCTAAGAAGTCTGATTTTAATTAGACTGAAGACTAGGGATTTTCACTTAAACCTATCTTTAGCAATGTATCCACATGTAGCCATATAAAATATGTGTTTGAAATTACTGGATGCACCAAGCAATGTGTATCATGTGGAATTTACTCTATGCCTGTGCATGTACATGTATTGGATTTCAGTTTAATATAAAAAGCTGATCATTGAAAGACTTGCCTTGTACATGTCACATCCAGCTTTGATGAGTACTTGGATTATTTCCCTTGGACCACGTTGACATGCATGATGAAGAACCGTTCTCTTTTCTTTGTCTAGACAATTGACATTAGCTCCAAGATTAATTAGCTTCTCTATTACCGGAATAAGTCCTACAAAAAAAAAAAGTAAAACATGCTTATAGTGAACACTGTTAATATAAGGAATCTATGCTAATAGCAAAGTGAATTTCATCCCCCCTCAGTTTTGAATACCGGGGCACTAGTATAATTATTATGAACTTTAAGGATATAACAAAGTTTGATTATTATAAAAAAATTGAAAGCAAATTCATCTATGAATCTGTTCCTCATACTTCGCTTCAACATGTTCAAGCATGTTTTACTTTACTACAGCACAGACTTTTTAAAACTGTTTGTATATTACAATAAACAAGCAAAATATTACAGATAATTTACTTGACTACAAAGAGATTATATTTTAATATTTGGATGTTATTTAGCAAAGCTTGAGGTCTTTTGAGTGCATATGATAATAAGTGCGATGGTGAAACTTGAGAATATAGAACTTTTAAAAATAAAATGACAATGCCTATATAATCCCTTCATATTATACAGTACACTAAGCAATTTGCATTGTTTAATTTCATAATTTTAAGTAATAACAATTCGTGATGTAGGACCATATATTGATCATGGTAATAAAAATAAAGTTTACCCATTTTTGCTGCGTAGATAAGTGGAGTCCCTGATTTAGACATCGTGTTTACGTCGTATCCCGGAGTTAACAATAACATGGATGCCCTCTCCACATCTTTCTTCTTCATGGCAGACAAGACATGGGTGTTCACAGCCATCCTGCTTTGCGTTATGGTCCAAGAGAGGAAATGCTATCATTGATGGTGAAGATCATGATAACACTTTAAGGATTTCAAATTTTATTCAACAGGATTTTCCTGATAATTATCCCATTTTCCTTACAGCACTTGCTTCATTTCCTGCCACAAATTAAGAATGAGTGGGTTATTAAATAATTAATCTGGAAATGTCTGCAGGACACAATCAAGTCATACTCAGATACTTATACAGGTTCCACACAATGTCTTAATAAAGCTATATAGCTTGATTTAGCTATATACAATGTAGTTTGACAAGCTATTCAAAATAGCTTGATTACAGGTTGTAGTTTTGATTGCCCATAGTACATACATGTATATAAATAGTTCATACTTGCCACTTTTTATTTCTTGCAAAAAACGTTTTTGTGAAAAACTGCATATAAATAGCTTTATCAAGCTATATTAATTAGCACTAATATTTAATAATTAATAGCACTATAAAAGAAAAATCTTTTAATTAATAGCACTAAAGAAAAATCATCTAAGAGAGAGATAAGGCTTAATTTTTGCTACAGTAGAATAAGACAAGTAGAATTGCAGGTATTTGACTATGCAAATGTGTATGTAAGTACCATATGTGGCTAACTGAGGTCACAAATCCTGTTGCTCTCAAAATTTTGGAAACGCAATTTGATGAACAATTTTTACATGCATTGCTCTACCTGTTGTAAAGCAAGAGATTGTGATGGGCATCTTAAATTTACGAATTTTTTGCACGTGAATGCTTTTAAAAGAATAGAATTTATCATATTACTTTATACCATTATACCTGTCAAAGATTAGGAACCCCAGAAAATTGTTCTCCATTTTGACACACTGCGCCAAACAGTACAAGGTTACCTTCTGAGGGATTCCGAGAATACCATCGAACTTCTCTAGACTTTTCACAAGTTCGCAAGCTTTTGAAGGTCAAGGTTAAAACAATGGCGGCGCCCATGCAACGTTCAATTTTTAACTTGCTGAAATCAACATCTGGTAGTTTAAAAAGATCGCTAAGCGTAAGATAATTCTTCTACATAAAGACAAAGAGTGAATTATGATAAATATCAAATTATATATTCTTCATCTCAAGTTAAAATCATTATATTATTGTTTTTTTAATATCTCCTTCAGCTCGAAAATCCTCTAGAATTAATCACGCATCAATGTCATCATTTTCAGCAAGAATATTAATATGATATGTTGACGGTGCGACCGTTAGAGCGAGCGCAAACTCTTCTATTGTTTTAATTTAGATCGGGCTCGTCAAACCGCACGTGACATTTGGTGCGTCTAGACTCTGACGTCACATGACGTCGTATGTAAGTTAAAACTGAACAGTGCTGAAAGTTGATGAAAAAAGTTACGTTTACAATTTATCTTCAATATGTATCCATTTAATCAAGGCGAGTAAACTTTTCTTGAACATTTGCCGTCATTCTCGCGAGAACGCAACTTTGCTAAGTGATGCATTGTGGGTCAAAATAACTGCAGCAGAAAATTCTAAAGAATGAATGTGCAGTAGTCCGAATTTTCTCTTCACCCAGGCGTTGTCGTTAGAGCTCGCGGTTACGAGCGACGCTCGCTGCGCTCGCTATAAGTTGATAACCTGGTAATTTTTGAACAGATAATTCAATAACTGCATCTTTAAATCTTGACAAACTGTTATATTTAATGTCTGAATGAAAAGAAAATAATTATCAGGTCCAGCACAGTACCCTTGCAGAAATTATTCCTGACTTGAAAATGCTTCTCAGGAATTCCTAAGATGTCCTAAGAATTCCTAAGATTTCCTCACAATCTGATTTGAGGAAATCCTAGGAGTAACAATCCTGGGATTTGATTTCAGGACATCCTAGGATCTCCCAGGACTTCTTTGTTAAACATTTCAAATCCAAATCTTGCCAGGACATTTCATCGTAAAGCCAGGAGTTAATCATTTTTAAGATAATCCCATTTCCTAAGACTTTTGACTTAATGTTGGGACTTTTGTAAAATAGACAAATTAAACTTTACAAACTTGTACATGTTAATATATGTTAAAACAGAATGACAGGAAATTTTATTACTTTTAAAGTTTTAATGTATAATATCAAGAAAATCATAAAATGAATAATTTTCAATCATTACATATTATACTTGATACATAGAAAGACACTGACCCTAGAACTATTTTTTAAATTAAATACTTTCTGAAATATTGATGCTGTCAGGGAGGAGTTATACATGTATAAATATGTTTTTAAAAAAAATTGTTTACAGACAAACAATATTTCACCATTTTCAAATCACACATTTCTGAGTTGATTTTTATCCATTAGAATTAAATTCTACACTTAATCTTTAGATTGCTTCGTTCATGGGAAACTGAGTGCAAGCATAGTTTTTTTTTTCGAAAGCACTGGTCATACAAACTTGGCCATCTTGCAATACAACATCAAGTATTAATACAACAGAAGGATGGAGTGGTAAATTTTCTTCATCTGTCAATTTAATTTTTCACTTCGCATTTCATTTCGACAAAATAAAACATATTTTCCTCAGAGCACGTTATAAGAAATGGCTCTCCTATACCGTCATCACCTGCATACACGTTATATATCTCTCAGGTGGTTACCAAACTATCAGCTTCAAAGTTACATGCCTGGCTAAAAGTATCTTTTTTTTGTATCTTCTTCTTTATCAGTGTCATTTGGTTCATCAAACTGTCTTTGACTTTACTATCTTTAACATCTTCATCCAAATCTGTATGATTTCGCTGTATATTCACCCATAACTGCCAGAGAGACTATACAAAAGAAAAGTAATTATTGAGTCATTGAAAGAAGAGTACACTACACAAATTTAAGTACTACATAAACAGCATATTCAAGAAGCATGACTTGGTCTGTGACATCATACTTTCGTCACTTTCTGACTTAAAAAGCTTGGTATTTCAAATATTGTTGGGTTAGAATCGTGTTGTATTGTCAGAGTTTGAGAATATAATTCCTCATGTTTTTGATATTGAGTATTGCTTTTATTTAACGAGGAAAATCTAAAAAAAACGCAGTAAAACTTATAGAGTTTCCTGAAAATTTTATCCACATAAACAAAGATCAAAAAAAACTTTTCAAAGGTTTTGACCAAATTCGAGTCGTAACATAACTATTTAATACGATAAAAATGCGCTTTCCCTATAGTTTTATAGCCAGATATACTAATTTTCATTCATCACTTAGCAATAAGATACTTACAGACATCGTGACAGGCTTGTAGATACAAAGAAAAGTCGTTGTTTACAGCACATGTGACAACTTCACGATCCGCCATATTTGTGTTTGGACGGTTTCCATGCAAATTGTTCTTGGCCTAAATGTATCACTGTGGTTTCTTCTGTAACACTTTCTGTGAGTAGAATTGGTTGATCAAGGATATTTATTATTTATTTTTTATTTTTCTAATATGCAGGTCGTTTGTCACTGAAAATAACTTACGTGTTTTTTTAAACAAGATTCTCGGGAAAATGTCGGGATATTTCTTAAAGGTGTACAAAATACCCCTACACCATGTCTGCGCGCGAACTTCCGAGAGGTGGTAAAAAAAGTGATCTTCGATCAATTGGTACCCGGTGTATAAAATATATTTTACTGTACACTCAGCTTTGAATATTAATTTATCAGAAAATATTCGCTAAAATATATTTTCTTTTTGTAAAAAAAAAAAACGTAAATTCACATTAATCACAAATTATTTTCAAGAATAAACAAACTGCATTTTCTTGGTGTGGCACGAAATAACTTTACACCGTCCTGTATCATCCTCTCGCGAGACTTCATCGAGAAGCGCAAAATAGGAGTTCAAGGAGCGGCAATGTTTAGAGAGACTGGTTAAGTGTAATGAAATGCACAACTTACGTCCAAGATTGACTCTAATTCTTCACATAAACCATGTTCTCTTTCCCAAAAATCTTGGTTTCGCTAGGAGTGCAGTAAAGGGAACGTTGGAAGAAGTGTAGATATCATGGCCACAGGCCAGTGGGGTAAGTGGCAAGTGGTTCCTTGTAATATGTATTTAAACACACAAATATTGTTTAATAATTTAGTGCATGTGATGTGTTGTATAATATTTCAATATTGAAACAGAAGAAACGATTTGAATATGTGTAAAAGGTTTTTGGGCATACTGTGATTCAGTCTAGTCCATGAAGATCAAACGTACATTATTTTTTTTTTAACACAGTGAAATATTTCCAGGTTTTACATGTTAAAATTTAGTAAGCAGAAGACTTATAAACAAATATTTATTATCAGTTAAGTACTGTTAAATTTGCATTGAATGTTTTGACATGGTGTAAATTTTGGAATTATACTGTTAAATAAAGCCTTCATTGCATTGTTATCTTCTAGCCAGAACCTTGAAGCCTGGCAAGGATTATGAGACTGGAAACTCCCATTGAGACTACCAAATGAAGAGAAAGTTTCAGGTATCTTGTAATTTTTAAAAAAAAAATTTTTCTAAACTTGAAAGAATATACAGATTTCACATTCCTAAGAGTTATCTCCGGTTGTCGGCGTAACACTCATTTCTCCCACTTTGTCCTTTGTAAGTTACCTGGAAATATTTTTATTTTCAGACATTTATATCTAACAATATCGGTCTGTAACTGTATTGCCAGAATATGGGGCAACTTTAAAAACATAATGAACAAATTCATACATACTATATTTCTGAGATACTGGACGTATACATAAAGTTGGTAAGGTAATAGAGGGGAAACAGTGTCTTACGCCGGTTGACCCTGGATTGACCTCGCAAAGGGGAATAACTTTTGTAAATGTGAAAGTCATCTATGAAAGTTTATGGTACATTTCAATCTCTGTAACTTGTATTAAGTTGGGAAAACTGACACAGATATCGTAGAACTCATAAGATAATATTCGCAAAATTTAGAACAGAAAAATGAAAAAATCAGCAAGAAATATCAATGACAGCCATCATTAAAATTAATTTCAGCTAGATTACAAAAGAACAAATATTATATACACGTCTTATAAAAAATTTTATTGATAACTTTGCAGACTGTTTAACTCGGACTAAGGGAAAAGAAGCAAATTACAACAAGGAGAATATTGACGAGAAAGGTAAGCTGTTCAAATAATGTTAATGTATGATTTTAATGTTCTGTTCACACGGAGAGTTTAATTCACAGTATTTTAATGCCAAGTAAATTGACTTTATACGACAGCTGTGGTAAACTGGTAAAGCGGTTAACTATTGCGAATTAAAATTTTATTTTCTACAAAAAGGCTATTCAGTAAGATTATTATGACATCATTTGTAAATCATGTCATGTATGCAATTGATTAACATACCTTATTCCTTATGCAAGCAGCAAGTGTGAATAAAATAAATCTTTTGAGAAAAATGGTTCATCTTACTTGGGCAAATTTAACACATATTTTTATGGACTGGTAGAATCTGAAAGCTTGATACATGTAGCATCTTTGGCTACTAAATTTTACAAGTTTGATTTTCATCCCTTAGAAATAATTACATATTTAGACTAAACAATGGAATACATTAAGTAAAATTTTATTTTAGCAAAGACAAGTGAAAAGTTGAGTGAAGAAAAAGCAAACAAGGCTTCACGATCTGCAACTAGGCCACTGGCGATGAAGAAGAAAAATGTACATCTAAAGAAGATACATCAGTGATCAACTAAAGCTGAGCGACTTATATTGGATTGACGAGGTGCAGGGGGGATATTAATTTGGGTCTGTTTATCTTTCTGTTTGTCAATCTGTCTGTCTGTAACACTTCGTTCTCTTAACATTTCCAAAAAGCCATCAGATATTGCAATGACATTTTATATTATAACTCATTTTGACGATCCCACTGCAGAACATGATTAATCATCAATACAAATTTAATATTGTTTATAAATTAAATATTACCCATATATATTTTGAAATGAAATGGTCAGAGGTCAAGGCCTCTTTCGGGGGCACATATTGTTTTTGCCTGTCTGTTTATCTGTCTATTGCCAATTTACCTTTTGCCATAACTTTTGAATTATGAGAGATATAGATACTTCATATTGGGTATGCTTACTCCACTTTCAAATGAGACCAAGACCAATGACCTTGACTGTCATCGTTATGCTAAAATAAAGCCTTATTGAATCTTTTACTTTTGAACCATAAAAGGTAGATATTTTATATTGAGTATCCATACTCCACTAATTAAGTTCTTTCAAATTACATCAAGGTTAATGACCTTGTGACTTTGACCTATATGTTTTTGTTTTTGTTATATGTTTTTTCTTTTTCAAACTTTGTTGCCACCAGGTGCATACTGTTTTTGTTTTTTTTTATGGGGGGGGGGTGGTGTTATGAATTAGTTCTGTTTGGTATCTGAATCTTTTATTGTACAGAATTCTTCAGAAGTGACGAACTCTGAGGGCCTCACCCCTACTCTCTACACTAGGTTGTTGATTTAAATATTTTTTTATTATTATTAATATTTGTCATTGTACATGTATATCATAAATATTCTATGAGAGCTGCTTCAGAATGTATCAACATAGTTTGAAAATAAGACAATCTGTTTCCCCCCTTGTGTGTAAATCATGATGTTGAATCATAACTGCACTATAATGTTACAGCAGTAAAATTGTAAAGAATTTGTTGTATCAGATACCATCAGCATTCTTTAAAAATTATTTTATGTATTATTTTTTCTGTGTGGCCATGAATTTTTATAATGCATACATTCATTAAATTTTTTTCAGAGATCTTATAATTCTGCTTTGTTGCTATGTATGATTTTTTTTAAAAAAAAAAGATGTCCTAGGAGGCTAGGATATTCTAGGAAATCCTAGGAATTCCTGATTTCCTAGGACATTTTAAGTGTTGGGATTTTCCTGGGATATCCTGGGAAGTCTTGGTGTTTTGATTCCTGGGATTTTTCTAGAACCCCTGAATTGGGACTGTCCAAGGAAATCCCAGGAATTCCTGTTCCAAAAACATCTCAGGAAATCTTAGGAATAATCCTAGGATTTTTTCAAGATATCCGAGGAATAAATCTTAAGATTGTCTTAGGATTTCTTAGGACATCTCAGGAATATTCTGCAAGGGTACCCTGATAAATGTATAGTACAGTGAAGTCGCCAATTCCGGGTCACGTCAGGGTGTTTCGTTGATATTTTGCAAATCTTTTTAATTTATATTTTATGCAATATATGTATTTAAAGAACAAATAGTGACTCATCCAAACATCTTTTCGTTTTCAAAGTAGCTGCACGGGAACATTATTTACAGGGGTATTTCAGCAAGGCCTAGCTTCCCCAGTTACGAATCATTTTCTCCATTTCCGGGTCGTATGACTTCACGGTCGTGTAATATTCATGGAACGTTTCGGAACACGATTTTTATGATGTTGAAAAATAAAACAATTCATGCAGCTTGGAAAAAAGTAAAACAACCACAGAAATATGTTTAGATTATTTTTAAAACAATTACAACAAAACTGATGCCGAATCAAAAAATGTATTAGGATTAAAAATAACACAATTAAATTTATTTAAAAAATGCATTTGAAGGATTAACTCGATTTTAATTTTTAGAAAAAATATTTTCCAGTTAGAATACTTTTGATAATCAAGGTAAATACATAGTTGTCGATTGGTTTTGTACATAGAAATTTGACATGTTCATGCCACGAGATTGCGTGACCCGCAATAAGAGAAACTACTACAGTTTGATTTAATAATGATAATACTTTTATTTGAGCAGCGATTATTATGATTGATTTCTGAGTTAAAACTAAATGCATTTGCCATACTTTCGAGCTATCATTATTTATCTAGAACTTTTATATCAGCCTTTCTGCAGCGAACAAAAACTAAAGTAGCCAGTCACAGCAGCAGAAACACCTAAGTCTTTAATGCGTGCGTTTCAGAATTTCGATTGTCAGATGCTCTCTTAAAGTTTTTATTCAAAATGTTGTAATTAATTACATACAGAAAGCCCAGTTCTTCATGACCAGCGTATTCAAAAAGTTTTTTGCGCTTAAATTTTAACACTAGGCATAAAATACATGCGAGTGACCCGGAATTGGAGACGACCCGGAATTTGCGACTCCACTGTATATATAGCTTGATAAAGCTTTATCAAGGTATTACAAATACCTTGACCAAGGTATTTTATGTAATGGAAGTACAAAAAAAAATTTTTAAAAATAAATAATAAAAGTCTAGTTCTGAGTTGTTGTCAGTAAATTCACTCTTGCATGTAAAGTACTTAAAGTTGAACACAAAGAAAACAGTATAAAAGCATGTTGTGCGAGGAGATTCTTTTATGCTGTCTTTTTGGTACCCAAGTACTTTTCATGCACGAGTGGACACACTGACCACAACTCATAATTCGACTTTTAGATTAATTTTTTGAATTTTTTTTTGTATTTTCATTACATGAAATACCTTGATCAAGGTATTTGTAATATCTTGATAAAGCTATACAGCTTTATCAAGCTATATACCTTTATCACGGTATTGTGTTGGACCTGATTATTACAGCTAATATATCCCTTCTATAATGTAATCATAAATTGTGAAATGATTGCTCCTAATAATGTCAATAATTAAATGATAAATTCTGTCTATGTAATATTGGTCTGTGTCCTGTGTATATTAAGCAAATTTTTGCTCAGGACGCATTAATATTATTTCAATAAATGTGCATCCGGGACAACTGCACTTTACCGGTATGTCCAAATAACATTCAAATAGCGCATATTAATTAATTATGTTTTATAGGGAACAAATAGAGTGACTGGAAGTCTTCTTAATCAGCAACGTAGAGCAGACGTCAGAGACTATTCAACAGAGCCACAACATGCACAATATGTATGTACTCTACATGTTTATGTTTGCATAGTCTTTATTTGTTTGTATTATTGTCCAGGGAAGATAATTGCAGTAAATTAAGCTCATGCACATGATGCAGTTATAAAGAAACTCGGACGCCGCCATGTTGGTTTTACAAATACTGTAAAGGACTTACTTCATTTCTGATATAAAGAATATTTGGGTCAGTGACTTCCTCCCCAAGTTTTACTGTTTGTGTCTTTTATTAAATACAGTGTATAATTTTATCATTTTGTCATGTTTGTGTTTATTTAAGTATTTTAAAAAGATTTTAAAGTAAATGATTTTACTGTGTAACATAATAACCCGCTTGAGAACGCTATTTCTCTGTAATGATTTTGTTTTCCGGTATTGATGCAGAGTAAATATGGAGGAAGAACTACTGTGACAGCCTTGACAGGAGATGGCGTTGGACCAGAGTTATTATCTTATGTAGAGGAAGTGTTCAGGTAATGTTTGTGTAAAAAGTAAATAAAATCATTAGACTAAGTTTGTTTTGAACAAAGAGAATTCTCTTTATGCAAATCAGATACAGCAAAACGTCATTAGCTTGAACTCAGTGTAACCAAGAAAGAAAACAGAGAAATCCTATGGATTGGAAATGTCAGGAGTAAAATGGTTAAAGATATCTTTTTATCCAAATCTCTTCCACATATTCGTAATATGCATGATATCAGTGTTCAAGTATTTTATTGCATCTAATGCATATACTTTTCAGCAACTACAGCATATAATAATGTACTTTTGTAAAATTTAATTGAACTTGAACTTAGCACCCATTTTTATACAGAATTGTATTATAATTATTGTATCCTACTTTACTCAACAATAATATTTTAAAGACAAATTTAAATTTATATTAATATACACATATCCACTGGTTCTGAGTTGGATAGCTCTTTTATCAAACCCAAGACAGGGAACTATTCCCCGAGGGCTAGCTTGCCCGAAAGGAATAGTTCCTGTCAAGGGTTTGATAAAAGAGCTATCCCACTCGCAACCAGTGGATAAGCGTTTTATTATACTGATGTATTAACAGTATAATATAATTTCTGAGGTTTGAATTTTTTGGAGTAAGATAATACTGCAAGAATAATCTGAAATCCTGATGAAGTCACAATGCTACTGAAGTCATTATGACATCATCAGTCAATAGATTTATCGCTGGAAGTCAAAATTGGAGGCAAAAATTGTATGAAAATTTTCCAAGGGTGGATAGTAAACATTATCTTCTTTAGATATGCAGGGGCCCCTGTAGATTTCGAGAATTTGGAAATAAATGCTAGCACAAGTGATGAGGAAACACTACGCAGTGCTATCCTGTCAGTGCAGCGCAATGGAATAGCTCTCAAAGGTAAACAGCATGCACTATTTATCTTTAAAATGATATGTAATGCAATAATTGAATTATAATAATTAAACATTTGAGAAGGAGAAGTATTGATAGATTATGAATTTAAAAAGCAATGATGTAACGATAATGCAATCATAGTTTTAGGGTTTTAAACAAAATTATATGAAAGTTACTCCAAACAAAAACGTAAGTAAAAGAAACCAGTTAAAACATGTTTAATAAAATGAAGGTTAATTTCATTGTGCAAAAAAGTTATGAAGTAATATATCGTGTAATTTTGTAGGAAATATTGAGAGTAAATTTGACGAACCAGGATTCAAATCCATGAATGTTGAACTAAGGTAGGTATCAAACCATTTGAAATCTCACATGACATAATGTAACTTTGGCATCATTTAAGCAATGAAAATGTTTTAATTCCCTCTTTTATTTTAGAAAACCTGAATAAAAAACTCGAAGTATTCTTCAATAATTATCAGATTTCAGTGTAAAGTAGTAATTAAATACTGTTAGAGGTAAATAAATCTATCTGTATATTTTGAATAGGACAAAGCTGGATTTATTTGCCAGTATTGTGTGGTGTAAATCCATTGCTGGAGTCCACACTCGACACCAAAACTTAGACATCATCTTAATAAGGGAAAATACAGAGGGAGAATACTCAAACCTAGAATATGAGGTAAGGTCATCACTCTAAAGTGTCTCTGTTGATGAGTTCAGTAAATTACTTTTTATTTGCAAAAAACTTTATTTTGGCCTGATTTATATGCAACTGGTCAACTCACTAAAATTTCACTTTTTCATATTCATCTATACTGCTAAGGATTAGATACTGTAAATGTATTACATTTGGCGTGTACAATATTTGGCAGAAATTCAATTTTCAAAAGTTAGCGTAGATTTGATTTAGCGCTGTCTGAAGTTTCTAGTTATAAAAGTTAATATACTAGACATTTAGCGATGTACTTGAATTACCGGACTCTGCTTTCCACCAAAATCGCTAAAAAGAATACACCGCTATATTTAATACATTTACAGTAAATGTAACCAAAATTCATGAAAATTACTCTTGCTTATAATTTCCAAATAGCAGTTTCATGAAAATTTGGTATCAGAAAAAATTTAAAATTCCCCATTTGTTGTAAAAAAAAAAAAAAAATTGTTTATTTTATGAAAAATTCATTTTTTTTTAAGTGAAAATTACCTGGTATAACATACACTTATAGCTGACCTGTAATGATTCTCCAGAGAGCATTAAATCAGAGAAACAGAGAGTAAAGGTTATTATGAAATAATCATTGTAGATTGTACCAGGCTGTATAGAGAATCTGAAAATAATAACAGCAGCAAAGTCTACCAAGATTGCTAAATATGCCTTCGAATTTGCCAAGACCCATGGTAGAAAGAAGGTCACAGCTATTCACAAGGCAAACATCATGTAAGTTCATTGTGTAGTGTGAATGAATTCCTGTCTTCATCTAATTTTACTTCCTTAAATTTCTTTGCAGAAACCTTGCTTTTTTAAATTAATATGCTATATCATTACTAAATGATTTTTAATTTTCTATTTTCTCTCTCTTTTTTTCTCAGGAAATTAGGAGATGGACTTTTCTTAGAATCTTGTAGAAAGGTGGCCTGTCAGTACCCAGACATTGAGTTCAGTGACATGATTGTAGACAATGCCAGTATGCAGGTGTGTAGTATAGTATATCAATTAAATGTATTACTTAATTATGAGAGTCAATTTATTAAACTTATATCAGCATTAAAAGAGTTATTATAAAATTTATGAAAGTAATACACCTGTATCAGTAATGGAAAAAAACATTTTCAGAATATTAAATGAAGACAAAGACTATTTTCAGATTTAGTTGTACTGCTTAAACCTAATAGGTATGAAATTATAGGTCCATAGAAGAAGTATCATTTATATTTGACTAAAATGTACAGATGTAGTACATTAGCTACAACACTTACTTTTTATTGACCAGATGGTGTCTAAGCCTCAGCAGTTTGATGTCCTAGTGATGCCCAATCTCTACGGTAACATCCTGAGTAACATCACCGCTGGGCTGGTCGGGGGCCCCGGGGTGATTCCAGGCATGAACATCGGGGACAACTACGCTGTCTTTGAAATGGTTTGCACTTCTGTGAATATTTAAAGATTTTTTGTTTGCAAGGAATATATTATTTCTCTATACATTCCAGAGGAAAGAAATGTAAGGTTCAATGACCCTCTAAAAAGAAAGTTAACTCTTATTGGGATTTATTATTATATTTTTTTATAATTAAAAAAAGTTAAAAAGACCATTTATATACATTTTTTATGTATCAAAGGTGTGCTAAAATCATGTGCATTGTAATTTTACATACAGCTAATTTGGGAAATTTTTAAATCTAGAGCAAGATTTTACATGTCATTGAATAAAGGGGTAATTGACCTTGTTTTATAGAAAGCAGGAAGTCAAAGCATGTTGATGATGTTAGAGATACAGGTATCTTATTGCATTTCCAACATCATAAGATATTCTATTAATATTGAAATGTTTTCTCACAGGGAACTAGAAGTTCTGGTCGCAGTATGAAAGGGAAGAATATTGCCAATCCCACAGGAATGTTGTTAGCAAGCTGTGATATGTTGGACTACATTGGGTAAGTCAGAAACAGTATCCTTTCAAAAGTCTGAAAAATGGAAGAAAGCATAGAGCTATATCTTACTCATTGATGTTTTATCCAGAATAAAAATGTAAAATTATTTTGTTTTTAATTCCTAAATTTTTTTGCATTCCTGTAGCTATAACCACCACGCTGAGTTAATCCGAGAATCTGTGATGAAGGTTTTGTCTGAGGACAGGGTAAGGAGTCAAAAATTTGAAATGACTGTTTAGAAAACTTTAATTCTTAAATTATTCTGTAGAATTCTTTTTACCAGTTACATATATATATATAATTCAATTATTCTAAAGCAAAGGCAAATGTATACTTTAAATAAAATTATACTCACCATTGCATGAGAAATCAGAGAAATTGGGTTGTACAAATGTAAACACATCAAAATGTACATGAATAACGTGACTGTATATTTCTGAGCATCGTTTTGTAAATAACTTTCCCTCTGCAGATTCAGACCCCAGATCTAGGAGGTCATGCAACAACTTTAGAAGTTGTACAAGCCATCATAGATGATATTAAACCAAAGACGTCTAGTTGGTGAGTAACGGCACACAAATGCTTGATTGTTAAATGCAGATCTAGGTTTGAGAAGGGTTATTTTGCCTAGTTTTATTACCAGGATGTGTATTTACTCCCAGATTTTTCCATTAGTTTTTATAGTGCTATCCACTTTTAGAATATTTTTCTTGAATATAACATCTAAAATGAAAAAAATGCATTGTGTATGATATTCATGTAAGATGAATTTCAAGAAAGTATGAAGCATATTTGTGGTAGAGATTGAATTCATGTAAATAAATTCAGTGAATTTCATTTTATTTGCCTGTTTTCAACCTCGTTTCTTTTAATACATTTGCTTTTATTGCTTGAATAAAAATCATATGCATTTAAATTACTGACAAACTTTCGATATTTAATTTTGTTATGATAAATTTATTTATCTATCAACAGACATATTTAACTTAAACTCTAGTTTTATTTTTATACATAGTAGACTGTGCATGTTTGCTTTCATAAAGGCTTCAGAAAGTTGGACATTTTATTTTTTAGTAGCATTAACAACATTCATTAGAATTTTAATGCTTGGTTTTTCTCAGGAGTTCCACTGCAGCACAAAATATTTACAGCCTCAGATGAGGTAATGGTATGATGAAAATATAACCCTATCTACCTACCCTTGTTCTGCATTTTATACTGGCTGGCTTTGGGTCCTTGCTGTCATAACTTGCTAGATACATGTAATCATGTATATGTGTTTATATTAATTATCTTGTAGGTTTTAGCAGCAGTGTTTGTCTTCAAACAAAGTTGAACGTCAAGTTATTAAAATGCAATAGCAAAGCAAACTATTCAAGCTACAGCTTTGCTCATGTACAGTGTACTTAAAAAAATTGCATAGAAAATTACCATGGATAAGGCTATTGCTCAAAAGGGTTGTTATAAAAGCATTTCTTTTGTTAGTTCTAAATGGAAATTTGTGCTTTCAAGAGAATTTATACATTTTTTTTTTATGTCTAGTACTCTATTTATCATGATCATTGAGAAACATTTATGATTTAATAATAGATATGCAATAATTTTACTGTAATTCAACAATTTTCAATGAAATTTAAGCAGGAATGTTCTGTTTACTAGTTACTGTAAACCTATATTTCATGAAGGGCACCATGCAGGCATATTCATTGAAGCAGTATGAGCTGCAACTTTGATGTCGGAATTTTTTGTTGCAAAATTGTAAATAATTAATTTCAATGACTGAAAAAATAACATTATTAAACTTTTCTTGTTTATATTTGCAATGGAAGAACTATTCATTAGCTTCGATTGAATCAAAATGACATTAATGTCATCCTGTACAATAATGATTTATTATATAAAACTGTATTTTGGATTGTATATAAAAGTCTTTCTTTTGCTTTATTTTAGTCCAATTGATCATAAAGGTTTAAGTTACATACAAATTTATCATAATAACACATTTTAACACAAAAGCTAGAGGTACTGTGAGCAATGGGCTCACTAAATGATACCCCCCGCTTCCCATATGTGTATAAATGGCAGTGTCCATGTTTTGCTATGGGAAACCCAAAATATGTGTCGGATCAAAAAGTAAAATAGGAGGTGCACAATGGCAATATGTAATAAAGATTCTGTGAAAGTTTCATCAAATTTCATTCAGTGGTATAAGAGGAGTTGCGGATAAGAGATGGGTACCCCAAAGCGTAACAGACGGACGGACAGACGGACGGACGGACGTACAGACGGACGGAATTAACGATTACTATATACCCTCCCGCTTTTCAAGCGGGGGGTATAATAAAATTTTCAAAAATGCAGCTCTTATTGCTTTGTGTATGGAGGAATGCTGTGGGATTATCATATAGACAAAGCACTATTTAGAAACTTGTTCATGAAGCATTTTCTGTAGTTAAGCTAGATTTTATTAGTTGAGAAATAGGCTAGCTATAGTCTAAAACAGTACATGTGTATCATTTTCTATTCTTAGATTTCGCTATGAACACCACAATGTTGAATAGCTATATATAACACTCTTTGACATGGTTTTAAAATACGACAATATTAAAACAACTAGTGTCTGTTTTTCGCTTGAAGGGCAGTTAGAACATCTTAAATAAGTAAGTTGAATTTTGATTAAACTTAAACTGAATCTGTTTCTAATAATATTCAGATAACTGTTCATAATATACTTTTACTAATTCTGTTTAATGAATAAAACTCTTACTGACACTGGTCAGAGTTATATTAACTTGAGACTGACATCTATAAATGCCTTTAAGACTAAGAATTATGTAAAGCTTTCTATAGAAAATTACAAAATAATATTTCATATTCAAAATTTAAGCAGCTTAACACATACCCAGCATTTAACTATCTAGAATCCCTCATTTAATTGCACCAACACCTGCCTTTGCTCTTTGAAGATATATCCAATGATGTTAATGAAAATAATATAATAAATTATTGCTGTATTACAAGTAATGCTGACTGCATTGGCAGATAAGTTTTGTTAATGCAGAAGTTACATGTGCTAAAATTGCATGTATAAAATTCATAATATATGTTTCTAGTGATTGGTTTTTAATTCAAATGTGAATATTGATTTGACATTAATTTCCTTCTTTTCCTAACATTACCTAATTTCTGCTAATTTTTTGTATTTTAAAATTTGCCCAGTCACTAACATTTGCTATGAGTCACATACAAATATAAGAACTGGTGAGAACTGTGTGTATTTTATGCATAAATTGAGTGTTTGAATAGATACATGTAGTAAGCTGATGGTATGATACATGTACTAATTGAAATGTTTTTTGTTTTTATTAATGTCTGACAGGCTGCATGATTAGACTGTCCACATGGTAAGTTTTAAGAAGCATGATTTTTATGAACAATTCACAAATAAAAAAAATTAAATATCAGAAACAATTATTACAGGTGTTATACATGTCTTTAATGAAAAAGTCACAAATGCCAAGGTAATTGGTTCCTCTCCTAACTGAGAATTGAGATGGGGGGGGGGGGGGGTTACCAGAGTAAGCAGGAGCTAATATCTATAAGTCAGGGAATTCCCCTTCCTTGTGGCAATAAGGACAACCCTTTTTGCACTTGAAGAGAAATACAATGTATTATCATTTTTATCAGAAGTTATCTTTAAAAATGTTTTCTTACCCTCTTCTGACTGCATAAAAAATTGGATTGATAGGTAAGGATAATTTTTAGTAAGGGAGAAAACAATCTAATTAAAATTAGATGTTTAGAGACGCTCGCATACTCGATAAACAATCTGATTAAAACGATGTTAGACCCACTCGCATACTCGCTACACTAACATCTAACAACATCCCATTGGAGGTCATGTCAGAGGTCAAACTCGGAACAGCTCTAGACTTATTTGCTTCAACAATGTACAATGACTTTGCAGGCAACGTTTTGATTGGTTGATAGAATTTGACCTCTGACATGACCTTCAATGGGATGTTGTTAGATGTTAGTATAGCGAGTATGCGAGAGGATCTAAACATCTAATTTTAATTAGTTAGTGTAGCGCGTATGCGAGTGGATCTAACATCTAATTTTAATCAGATTGGGGAGAAAAGTTTCAAATTTAAAAAAAATCTTTCTTTGAGGTTAAAAATTTTTGAGTCAGGCTGTTTTCTGTTGGGGGACAGTATTAAACAAATTTACTGACTGCTTAAAATTAAACTTTTTATTTTGGAACATGTATATATTCTAAAAATATTTCTTTTAATTATTTTTTTTTGTTTTTTATTGAACTGTTCTGTAACCTGTGTATTGACAACTGCCAGCATGTGTTAAAATCCATATGAATATGCTTTGAAAATGATAAATATTTACTTTCACTTCTTCTTTTGATATAGAGGAACAATGAAGAAAAGGGGTACCACTACTGAACAATGAAGCTATCCAAAAGGAATATTTTGTAAAATGTTAAAAGTGTTTTGTAAATTTAGAAGAAAAAAAGAACAGTTTTAGCAGCTTCCAGTACTGTTTATGTTTCAATTGCATGAAGTGAAAGAATTTTTTTTTAATTTTTCCTTTTAAATTGTTATATTAGTTAAATTTACTTAAATTATTTTCCATTATGTTATTGTGTTCCTACATATATATGTATTTGTTTTTATTAAAAGATGAAGATCTGAACTGAATTAAGAACATGCATTATTGTATATGAATATAATACACTGAGCAGTGTTGAGGCACATACAGTTTATCTAAAATATGAGATTTGAAAGAGACTGCACTTGAGACAACATTTAGGTGTTCTTTAAACAGTTCTTTTATTATTATTAAAGAGTGTTTTCACAGTATGTCCTTTTCCTGCATGATTATCTTGACATCCGTTTAAAGGAATTGATTTTCTGGTCATGTCCTTCATAAATTAACTCTAGTGTCTTGACATTTGAACATTGTCAACTTCTTCTCTGGAACCAATTTTGGCACATAGTATCTTTGGATAAATAAAAATGTATACAGTATTTAGCGAAAATGCATCAATTATTTGAAAATTAATTTCTCTGCTCATGGGTATTTAGCTGATCATGAATTACGAGTAAGTGCATAGTTATGATGAATAAGAGTGTCCCTTGCCGAAATGTGAATATCATGGCTCCTTCGTCAATGTTTCTGGTGTTAAGATGGGGCCCTAATGATTATATAATGAAAATGCATCAATTCATTAAAAATCTTCTCGTCTGCTCAAGGGAATTGTGCTGATGGACTAAGTATAAACTAGTAGATATGATGAGCAAGAGTGCCTCCTCCAAAATTCTGAATTTTATGACCCCTGGGTCAAAGGGTCTGGCTTAGGACAGAGCTCTAATGATAAACAGTGATTAAGTAATGGAAATGCATTATGATATTAAGCCGATAAGCTAAGTACATAGTTCTGATGAGCAAAAGTACCTCTTCCAAAATTGTGAAGTTCGATCATTGTCTCTGGGTAAAAGTTTCTAATATAAGGATGGGGCTCTGTTGATTATATAGTAAAAATGCATTGTTATCAGATAAATTAAGTACATAGTTATGATGAGCAAGAGTGCCTCTTCCAAAATTATGAATTTCATGGCCCTAGATCAGAGGTTCTGGTGTTAGGCAGGACTATAAGTATCATATTGTGAAAATGCATTTATTATTCAAAAATATTGTCCTCTGCTACTGAGTATTAATCTGATCAACAATTAAGGTAATTAATAATGTAGTTCTAAGAGAACTTCTTCCAACATTGTTAATTTCATGGCCACTGGGTCTGGTGTTAGGGTGGGGCCCTATGGATTAAACATTGAAAATGCAATAATTCTTTGAAAATTCTCTCCTTTGGTCCTGGGTATTATGGCGATGATCTATAATTATATCTAATATGATGAGCAAGGTACTTCTAGAATTGTGAATTGCAAGGCCACTGGGTCAGGAGTTCTGTTGTTAGGACAGGGACTCTAGTGATTATGTAGTGAAAATGCATAATTTATTTGAAAATCTTCTCATCTGCTCCTGGGTATTATGCCAATGATCTATAATTACAGAGTAATGATGTGGAAAGGTGCCTCTCCGAAAATTTAGAACTTCATGGGCCCTGGGTCAGTGACTGAGTGACTGAGTGACTGAGTGTGTGTTTTCATATACTGAAATTGAATATGAGATATATTCTTTTGTTATAATTGAAGATTTATAATAAGCAAGGATACATTTTGTAACTTCGTTAAAATGTGTGACCCCGGAAGCAGTGGTTCTAGTGGGAGGAAGCACTACTGATTATAAAGTGGAAATGCATTTTTTTCTTTATTTTTCCTCAGCTCTGCTTCTGGGTATTAAAAAATCAAAGAAAGAAAGTAATCAAAATAAGTATGCTAAATGTATACGAAGGTTGATCCAAAAGTTCGTGGAATTTCTTTCTAAAATTTTATCGTGATTTGATGAAAGCAAATTACTTGCATATTTCAAATATAGATTCCTAACTCTTTACAACTTACAGAATTGCTATGCAACATACATTGAATCCAAGCGTCATAGAAATATCACTTTACCATTTCCCCGCAAGCACTTTATAGTGGGGTACACATTTCTCTAAAGTTTAGCGTAAATAATATTCTTAAATAATATTTTAATTAGAAAATAATTTTTCTTATTTCATAAGATTGAGCAAGTTTGAAATAATTGGAATTTGGCGATAAATTGAAGATTTAATGAACTTTTTAAAGTGCGTGAAAATGCGTGATTGCGGGGAAACGGTAAATGCGTGATTTTGCGTTAGAAATAGGAAATGGTCTATGCGTTTAAATGCGTGACTGCGGGGAAGGGTGCTAATGCAATAATATTGGAAAATTTCACCACTTTCCAATTATCAATAAGTTTACACGAGCTTTCTGAAAATGGATTGTTGTGAAACCCGGGGGAGACTTAATTCAACGTTAGGTCAGGCAAGATGAAACTCATGTGGAATCATCCTCAGATACTGTAGATTCATGTTTGTTTAAATCATAACCCCTGGGGGTAGGGTGGGGCCAAATGGCCGATCAAAGTTTTACATATTAGGAATATATCTAGGAAAAATCTTTGAAAATCTTCTTCTCAAGAACCATTGAGACAGGAAAGATGAAACTCATGTGGAATTATCCTCAGGTAGTGTAGATTCAAGTTTGTTCAAATCATGACCCCGGGGGTAGGGAGGGGCCAAAATGGCCGACCAAAGTTTCTCATAGGAATATGTAGGGAAACCTTTTAAAATCTTCTTTTCAAGTACTTCAAAGCCATGATTAGTAATATTTATATGGAATTATCCTCAGGTAGTGTAGATTTCAAGTTCGTCCAAATCATGATCCCCTGGGGGGGGGTTAAAATTCAAGCCCCTCCCCCCCAAAAAAAATTATAAAACTTTCAGTTCTGATCTGATATGTGCTTTTTCCTAGCTGAGGTGTTCAGGTGAGCGCTGTGGCCCATGGGCCTCTTGTTGGATATGTTGTGAAAAATTCAATGACAAGTCACCTATCGCAAAATCTTGGAGGGCGATTCCTGTGGACAATATTATCAGAAAAAAAAATTGAAAATTGGTGTTTTTGAAACTTTAAAAGAAAATAAGAGAAAATGCACCTACATATTTGTGACGTCACAATAAGCATTTAGAAATGCTTTAGAGAAAAATGAATAATTTGTATGATTTTTCTGCATGGAATTTCTGTGTTTCAGAAAGCACGAGTTTCTTTCTTCTTTTTCTTTTTATACCAGTTTTATTTTTAAGAAAATCACAAGGCAAGATTTGTATTGAAGCCGTACCCTGTTCTAAGTTAAAGCATTGGTTATCTTGTTGTCTTAAAGATAAAAAGAAATCAATTTGACACATCATTCTTTTTGGATGTTCTCACAGATTTCAACAATGCTATTATGTGATCTTGTACGTCAAGACAATCAATTGCGACAATCTTTAACATTTATAGAAAATTACATACTTGAAAATTATATACTTGTACAAGAGTTTTGATCAAACTAAAGACTTACACTGTCTGTTTATGTCACATTTCTGGTCATTTTGCTTACTTCATTCGATTAAGTTTATCCACAGAATCTATTGGAACTTGATTAATTGTGTATTAATGTTTTAAGACTGATTCGAGAATTTTTCACTCGTATATAGAGTTACAGACATCATATTTTGGTGAAGGACTTTCACTTTAGATCGATACTTGGCACTCCTAGTCAATGAATAATGGGATCTGTTCATATTATTATGTTCATGTTATCGTACCAACGCCTACTGTGACCCTGACACTGCATGAGGACCTTGATTTTTAGTCACTCTTAAAAGACCTGACAAACATTGGATGAACATACAATTCAAATGCAATATACGATATAAGATTAAATTTATTATTTATAGACATATTTTGTTACTCAACTAGAGAAAAAATATCAACAAAAATTTAAACTTTTAACAAAACTTTAAATGATATACCTGATGACTTCAATTGATATATTGTTAACTTCCTAGGCCGTCTCCATATGAGTGAAAAATTCTCGAGAGGGACGTTAAACAATATACAGTCAATCTATCAATCCATTTAATTAGCAATAAATAATTACCACGTTTATATTCTAAATTAAAGACAAGCTATTGACAATTTAGTTGTTGATACAAGGATATTAACAGCCTTGCTTAAGGTCAACACATCTCAAATTTACTGTCGATTGAATGATCTTATCAGCAAATTAAATGTATCGCTAACTCGAATAATAACCAATATCATACAAAATGTTAAGCCATTATTATCATACCGAATTGTTTACGGACGCATGTTTTCGTTGCTCCAATCATGTTAAAGAGCGTAAGGTGGATTTGACTGGTCTACAAGGACCCATTACTCCTCCATGGCACCTGATTCAACAACTGATGTTTTTAGGGGGTTATGCATGTTTTATCTCTGATACCACATCTGATACTGTTTGTAATCTTCATATTTTGCCGAAAAGCTTAGGTATTCATTGACATCTCATTCTCGACTGAAACGTTTAGCAACATTCAATTAACCATTTAATTTTGAGATGGGGTTTGGGTTGGTGAAACTAACCAAACAATGTGGTAATACTTTTTAAAAACAAATTAACCGTATTAGTTATGTTTTTTTTTTTGCTAGTTGTGGTTATAAAAAAGTAAACAATGCTAAATATACTTTTTGAATTGCCTAACACAAATGATCGATCAAATATCAGGAATGTAAGCTTGAATCTGATTTTATTTATCGTAAATTATCTAAATCAGATAATGTACTCTGGAAATATTTTTTTAAATGCATTAATTAAGCGTTAAATAACCTTTTTGTCTTTGAATAATAAGGTGCTCATTTCGTTCACATTTTCAGCGTTAAAATATGTTGCATCTTTCACTTTAAGGTTGAAATATCGATGAACATTCAACGTTGAAAAAATGTTGCATCTTCAATGATTTAACGTTATGAAAAGTTTATATCATTTGGACTTTATTTCACTTTTTTTATTAACCAAGAAATCTTCAACGTTGTTTCAATGTTGTAAAAAGGCTGATGATTCAACGTTATAATGTCAACATACAACTTATTCATGAAACATGCAAGATAATTATGTTAACTTAAAATAAATCAATTTGACACATCATTCTTTTCTTTGAAGCTTTCGCAGATTT